CACACAATAGAAGAACTTGTCCTCCATCTCCTTATGAAGTAACCTCATTTTTAGACTACAGCATTTTTTATCATGAACCAATACATTTTGAAGTTTAAGACCTATTGAAGATTTTCTCCTAGATGTATAGCTTTGCTTCATCATGACAGCTAAGTTCTTTTGCTTACTTGGTTAACTTAAGTAGCCTGCCTGCCCAAGACCTGCTCCCCAAGGAATCTGGTCTATTTGCGTTTAAAAGAGTTAGCTGGAATTTTGTGCAAAAGTGTAGCAGCTAGGTTAGAAAGACCACTCCAGATGACTGATTTTTTTACATTTCTAGGTGAGATATTGCTATGGATTTCACGTAAAAGAAGCTGAGCTGGGAATTACTGGAACAGGAAGAGAAATAAACATCATTTCCATCTTAAATAAATAAGTTCTTTATAACAACGGAACCAAAAGGATCCTTTTCATTTTAAATGAACGTCTTAATCATTGGGAAATTTGGCTGCTAGGGCAATGGGCAGGGAGAGCAGTTTATGTTTTTTAGATCTGTCACTAAGTTCTGCCCATACACTCTTGAAGATTCCTTTCATTCAGCCCCTAAGCAAAAATCGTTGTGAACAGAATTAATACAGTCACTACTGCAAATTATCCACTTGGAATTTCTCTGCTTTCAAGCGGAGAAGCTTTCAAGTCTTCTATAGAGACTATATCAAACAAAAGTGGAAAATTCCAGGCACTCACAATTCAAAATAGTGTAGTCCAGATATCAACTGTTCAAAGTGATTTTACAAGTCAAGTATTCAGGTATTTTCATCTAGTATCAACCTTTTCAAGTAAAATATTGCAAGGCTGGAGAGCTTTAGGAAGAAGTAGAAAACAAATAGCTGAAAAATGTAACAGACAACATAAAAGGATGAAAAAATCATGTCCTAATCAAGTACTAATCTAATAGCTTAAACTAAAAATCTTGTCCTAATCCAGTACATTAAATACGTGAATTTGGTTTCAAATTACAAACGCATAAACAAAAATCAACTAAATAGATCCATATTTTTCAAATTATTTTATACAAACACATTACTATGCTGTTTACTGTATTTCCATGAGTGAAACGCACAGCAGGAAGGAGGATCAGATAAGACATCCTGTAAACAAACTTCAGAAATAGGCAGAACCCTAATGTTCATGGGTTCTCATCTGGAAGATGGCTATGGCGTAGGCATCCACTACTCTGTTTAGAGTTTCCCTCTCGTATTTTCAATACGCTACAATTTTGAATCCTACCATTTTCAAATTTGATTCTTCTCTTAGTCTACAGTTAAACATTTTATATGCCACCAATGCATGCCTCATTTCTATCATATTTTTATTTCATCTTTTTATGTACTCACAGCAATAAAAGATACTCTATGTTCCCTAGTGATCAAGGAAGTGCAACAAACAGGGCCCTGTTGAATCCTGCTGGCTACAAACTCGTGTCAAGTCTTCCATCCTGCTTACAGTTCCAGTATGAAATGCTGAGTTATGGAAGCAGGGTTTACTTAGTGCATTCCCGGCGATCCCTCTCATTATATACAGCCGAATTACCAGCATCCTGAGGCAGTGAAAAACCTCAGTCACCAACTCTTCATACTGTTGTTGCACCACGTACTGAAATATACAATGAACTTCTGATTCTCCTTAGCTCCAGGCTAGGCTCGTTACAAAGGTTGTTCTTTCTCTGCCCTACTTTCAGTTCATTTTATCATGCAGAGCTTAAAGCCCTTCTTCTAATTTATTTATTGGTCTGAACACCAAAGAAGCTTTCTATTATGATTTGCAGCCATAGCTCCTTTTGAAATAGATTTTAAACTTAATATCCTGCTGAAACTAGCAGGCATAACACTTGAGAGTATGTGAAAAATACCTGACCAAACCTAGGAGTGATTTAAAAATATGTACACTCAGCAATAAAAGGTAAAATTGATAGAAAAGACAGTGGCACAATTGACTTATTTATTAGATTTAGAATTCAATTTCCTTTATGCAGAGTAGCCTAGCACAATTAGTAAGTAAACTCATGTAGATCCAAGTGCAACTGATGTTAATTTTTTTTTTTCTCACACTACTGGCCCTCCAAGGTAGCTGGAGAATGCAATTAACAGACTTTCTCCCTGCAATCCTGTTGATTGTTCCCAATAAAACTAAAAATGGAGAAAATTAGGTTGACCGCATCACTGAATCCACACAAGCTGCTGAAAATCATCATTCTCCAATAGGGACACAGAACAGTCTGGCAGATTTGCGAATACCAGTAAATGCCTACAAACACACAAGCACAAGGAAAGGAGCCGCCTTTGCCTCTCAGGTAAAAAGAGATTTACCTATATGCAGTGCTTAATGCCGTCTAATAAAACGGTTAAACAAAACAAATCACCTCAGGGGGATGAAGAAGGTCATGTTTTCAATAATATTACAAAGAATAGGTGTTTGAGGATGAAAGTACCTTAAAATATACCACTTTAAAAGTACAACTTGCAGCACCTACTGTTGTCGATACTGAAAACAGGAAAGATGAGACAGTATCCAAACAGGATATTAATAACACTCCAGATAATTTAAGTCTTAATAACACTTTCATATGAAAAAGAGTATGAATAGCCTTTTAGCTAAATACTATTTTAGTCCACTCTTACAAGCATTACTTGATGGTCTATATGTTAAAATTTATGAACAGGATATTCTAAATATACATAATTTTTGGTATATAACAAACTTGAGTTTTCTAAGAACTAAGTGTGTACTGCCTTTGGCTGTTTTTCCTGTTTTTTAATGACGACAAAGATATTGTAATTCTACTTTTTTAAAGGTAATTAAAGTGAAAGGCTTTGGTCATCTCAACCTTCTCGTTCCTACCAAAAATATGTATTTAAGTCCATCCAGCTTCACAGCATTTTGCTAAACCATGAATGAAAAATTTAGGTCAAATTTGCAAAACACATTAATGAAAAAATCCAAATCAAAACATTTTGAAAATAAACACCAACTAATGAATTAACTAAGTCATCATTATGAATTTCATATCCTAGGAAGGCAACTGTTGTCATTACTAAGTGATCTTAGGTAGAAAGATAACCTCTTTCAGGCTTATGCTCCTTCTGTCCAAAGTTTAACCCATCTAATTTTTGATTGCTGAAAGGTTTTCATTGCTGTGACTGGTGATCAGATTCCTCTTTCAGTTGCAATTCCACAAATCCAGTTATGATTGCAAGATTTTCACAGCTCCTTGAGTAACTGCATTTAGATACTAAGATCTTTTACAACTCCCATACTGAAGATAATCGTACGTTTTAGCCTGTTTTTTTTTTTTTGATAGCGTTCCTTAAGCAATGGAAGACAGCTGCCACAAACTAGGTTGTTACAAAGCTGTGGTATTTGCCTTGAGAGCTGCAGGAGATGGGTGCTGGAACAGTTGGAAATGTCTAGGCAGTGTTTATAGCATGACTAGGGAATAAGGATGGGACAGATATAAGCATGTCCATCGATGACAGTGTTCCCTTGAAGTAGCAGTACTTTGCAGGGTGGATGGGATAGGGTTTTGCCTGGGATAATCTCACAGGTTGTGGTTTTAGTAGAAGCATGACCAAAGTGTTTGATACTAAAACAATAGAGATCAACTGAAACTGAGCTGTTATTTCCCTGCTCCTGCTCTTCTCATCCAGGAACAGAGGCAAAAAGAAGAGCATGACCACACTGTCTAAAGCCAGAACCCGAACGAACCAACATCATTAAACCAATTTTCTATCACTCTGTAAATTTTTACCCTTGAAAAATGGTACTATCTCAATCATCGTGATTAGGTAACATTGTCTTCAATTTGCACAGTACAATAGGAATTTTAATGAGCTAAAGTAGAAAGCAATAGAGAATTACTGCCAATAAATAAACTGAGTATGTGGCCAGGCAGGTAGATTGATATTTCACAGTACTTCTGGATGTTGTTAGGTAAAGGGAGGATTGGGTTATTCAGGTAGCAAAACAGAACAGATCCTCACCCCTCATGAAAATTAGTGATATTAGCATTTTTCCTACTCAAACATGTTGAACTTTAAAGGAAAACAACTCAGCCTCTCCACTTCAGGCTCAAACCTCAGTTCAGGTTCAAATACTTTCTTTTCGTGAGTATTAAAACATTTATACTCAGAGAAGTACACTTCAAAGAAATGAAGAACGGAAGTCTACTGGAGCAGCATGTGAGTGCAAGTCTTTGTTAAAAAGCAATTAAGAAAACAGAAACAGGGTACTTACTTACTCCATATATATAGCTTGTCATTAAAATTAACAAAAATGTGGATTTAATCGGGTTCATGTATGCAGGGTAAGGTAGTCCATAAAAAAGGAAAATAGCAGCTACATTGCCCATCTGGGACATTATTCTCAACAGTACTTAATACTGGTATAATTCTGCTACCACTAATTTTACTAGGAGAAAATCATAGGTGCTTTTAAAATCAAAGTCATCTCTAGTCGTTCCTGCACTGGACTTCAAATCACTCCACAATAAATAATGTGCATGCTGTCACCTAATACAACATCTTCTGTTCAAATATACTTCACAGTTTCTTCACCTTTGAGTTCTTACTCACCACTTACTATGAAAACAGGTCTCTCTTCTTTCTTTCTTACCCTATATAGGAAATGTAATTTTTAGACTCTTCGTAAGTCCACTTAAAGAAAAGTCTGCCTAGGCATATAACAACCCTGTTTAAGGCTTTTAAAAATCTATTACGGTATCACAATTGCCGCCCGGTAACAATGACCTTGGCCGTTCCCAGGGGCAGGCGGCGGGCTGCGCAGCGCGCTGAGCGCGCAGGTCTCGGGGCTGGTGCG